CCCCCCGGGCTGCCAGTGCCTGAGATCCCCCAGTGCAGTTCAAGGAGGGACCCCCAAATTTTCCTGACCTGTCTTCGCTGTTCCACTTTGTCCCCAAACTTACTAGCCTGCCCCCGTATTGCGTGTCCAGGGGGTGGTGGTCCAGCTGTTTCTTTTTGGGGATCACAACCCATTTTGAATACACATTTGTTTCCCACTCCCCACCCCCTGTTTCCCCCTTACCCCAATCCCCATTTTTTATGCAAAACCAAGAGGGCAAACAGAAATAACCAGCCCAGACGGCCTGAGAAAGAGCTGCCTGAATTGCAACACAGCTTTGCTGTCCAACCTCTTACCCAAAGTTTGTGTTTCCCTGGACAGCTTTGCGGTGTTTTTTTTGGTGGTTTGGGTTTTCTCCTCGCTGCTTTGCCATGCAGCATCTCAGCTTATGAGTGTTATTTCTGCTGTCTCTTTGGCAATGGGAAGGCATCAAACGCTTTGATCCTTATCCTCATTTCTCCCCCTACCCTGAGGAACAGCCTGGGGTAGCCTCACCGTGGGATACAAGCCCACGCCCCGGCGCTGCTTCCCTGTCCTGTGTCTTGGGGGCATTTTGTGTATCTCAAACACGGAGCAGCGAGGTCGCGGCACCCGGGTCTCCGTGCGCCCCGGTGCGAGTCCCGGCAGGGCAGGGGCTGGGCCGCATCCAGGGACGCCACGTCCTGACCCCCTGCTCAGCCGGGCATGGCCTCAGCTGTCCCCGCTCGGCAGCTGGGCTCTCCGTCCCAGAGAGGCATTGCAAGATCAGACCGTGGAGCTGGGAGAGTTTATTTGCCCCGATTTGTTTGCAGTGGGGCTCAGCTAACCCTGAACCCGCCCTGTTTGGGGACTTGGGATGGGGGGAGTTGGAGAAGAAGAGTTACCCCTCTTCTTCGCCCTCTCACTGCCATCCTGTTCTCCTGCGGGGTTTGCGGGCTGCGTCTTCCATGTGTGCCGGCTCGGATATTGGGAGCCCCTACCTCGCTCTTGGGTTGTGTGCCTGCAAGCTTTGGGTGGCAGCCCCCTTTCCCGCCCCGGTACAGCTGCCGTGGGCACTAAGGGGAATTTTGTCCTCCGTTTCAGGCAAGTCCTGGAAGGCTCTGAGCCTCTCGCAGAAGCGACCCTACGTGGAGGAGGCCGAGCGGCTGCGGGTGAAGCACATGCAAGATTATCCCAACTACAAATACCGGCCCCGGCGGAAGAAGCAGGTCAAGCGGATCTGCAAGCGGGTGGACCCCGGGTTTTTGCTGGGCAGCCTGACGCGGGACCAGAACGTGGTGCCGGAGAAGCAGCCCTGCGGCCGGGCCAGTGGGGAGAAAGAGGGGCCGGGTGAGTACCCGCCTCGCCGGGGGCCCCGGGCAGCGGCAGCAGCACCAGCGTGGACACCTACCCCTACGGGCTGCCCACCCCCCCGGAGATGTCTCCGCTGGACGCCATAGACCGCGAGCAGAGCTTCTTCTCCTCACCCTGCCCTGACGAGCATCACCGTTCCCACCTTGCTGGAGCCACCTACTCCCCGGAGTACGCGGGCGGCTCCCTTCCGTGCAACCACCACCCTCTCAGCCCCATGCCGCAGCCCACCACCTGCATGATCCCCCCAACCTCCAGCTGCCCTCCCCTTCCTCCTCCTCCTCCTCCCAGCTACTACACGCCTGCCTTCCCCTCCCTGCACCCCCCCAGCCTCCATGCCCACCTGGGCCAGCTCTCCCCGCCGCCTGACCACCATGGCTTTGACACCTTGGACCAGCTGAGCCAAGCCGAGCTCCTGGGGGAGATGGACCGCAATGAGTTCGACCAGTATCTCAACAACCCCAGCCACGGCGACCACCACGGCGGGGTCTTGGTCAATGGACACGCCCCGGCGGCTGGTGGCTCCCACGCCTCTGAGACCAGCCTCCTCTCTGTCCTTGCCGATGCCACGGCCACCTACTACAATAACTACAGCGTCTCCTAGACCCCCGGCCAGAGCCGCCTGGACCGGCCGAGGAAAGACCCGACACAGTATTACGAGGCATTGCTCCCCGGGGACATCGCTCGCCGCCCCTCAGGGTGACCGAGTCCGAACCGTGAGGGTAGTGGAGTCTCCTCAGTGGCGTAGGTAAAGGATTTCAGTCGTTGGCTCACCACCGGTGCAAAGCCTCGGGTGCCCTGCCCCAAACGGGGCCGGGGTGGATTTCCCAATGCCAAAGCCCTTTGGCCAAGTCCCTCTTCCAAAGCAGAGATGCCCCTGGGAGCGCGGGAAGGCTGCCCTCCATTTCGGGGCGCCCCCAGCTCTGCTTTGGAGTCGGGAGGAAGGCAGCATCCTGCAAACGGCAGGGCTGAAGTCCTGGCAGGGCCAAAACCCCCTGGAAGGGGAAAAGGCAGGGATGGGGGGAAATGGGAAGATTTTGGTAAAGGGGCGCACGGTCTACAAGCCGCTCTCGGCTCCTGGTATCGGCGTTGCTGCAGCCGTCCTGACCTGCCTCACCGCACTGGCGGGGGTTAAACCTGCCTTGTCCCCCTGCCCCCAGACCACGAGTTGGGGGCTTCCTCCC